TTGTTGCCTTCCTATAGTAGCTGGGGCTTCTGGTATGAGCCACCATGTTGGCTCTTTCTAATGTAGATGTTGTTTGCTTTAAATTTCTCTTAATCCTGCTTGTGCAGTATCCAACAGGATTTTCATTTGTTTTAAGAAACTTTAAAATAGTTCCTTAATATCTGATCCATTAGTTTGTTCCAGAGTTGCTTTGTATAGTTCCAAAGGTTTTTTGTTGTTGTTATCAATTTCTAGTTTTATTTCATTGTGGCTAGACAAGATACACATGATTTAAAAATTTAAAACATTTATTGAGCCTTAGTTTTTGGTTTATCATATGACCTGTCCTGTGAAATGTTTTGTGACATTTAGATAAATTTATGCTTTGCAGTTATTGGTTGGCCACTTGTTCTAGGGTACAATTTAACTCTGAAATTTCTTTACTGATACACTGACTAAGTGAACTGTTCACTATTGAAAGTGGGATATTAAATTAAATTACCTATTACTGTATTTAAATCTGTCATTCCATTTATTCTATTAATTTTCCCTTATACCTTTGAGTTCTACAATATTGGATGCATAAATATTTACAGTTGTTATTTCCTCTTGCTGAATTGACCCCTTTATCATTGTATAATGACCTTCCCTGTCATTTTTTTATTTCTGCATTTAACATCTGTTTTATCCGATATGTTTGTCTGCTCCTGATTTCATTTGGATCCATTTGAATGGAATATCTTATTCTGTCCCTTCACTTTCAGCCTATGCATATATATCCTTAGAAGTAGACTGAAGTTTTTGTATGCAATGGATAGTTGGGTCTTTCTTTCTTTCATTTTTTTTGGTGGTACTGGGGTATGAATTCAGGGCCTCAATGCTTACTAAGCAGGTGCTCTACCTTTTGAGCCACTCCACCAGTCTGGGTCTTTCTTTTTATATCTGTTCATTAAATGTGTGTCTTTTTATTGGCAAATATAAACTACTTATGCTTAAAGTAATTATTGACAGGTAAGTTGTTACTATTTACTTTTCTGGCTCTTTTTGTAGTTTCTTTCTCTCTCCCTCTCTTAAAGAATTCCTGTGTGGTTAAGTGATTTAGCCCCAGTGTGTTTTGCTACTTGCTTACTGTTTTTGGTGTATCTATTATAGACTTTTGCTTAACTGCTACTACAAGGCTTTCAAAAGACCTTTTTTGTTGTTGTTTTTTTGATTATAACATGCTATTTTAATACCAAAGCAACTTAATTGATAAAAAGGTAGGAAAAAAAAAACAAAAAAGAAAGAAAAAGTACTGTTAAAAAATTTTAGGCTGTAGTTTGTAATCCCAGATACTTGTGAGGCAGAGATGGGGAGAATCATGGTTGGAGGTCAGCCCAAGTAAAAAGTTACCAAGACTCCATCTTAGTTGATAAATCCAGGCTTGGTGGTGCATGTGATTCCAGCTACTTGGGAGGTATAGGTAGGATGATTGCAATCTGAGAGCAGTTCTTAGCAAAAATGTGAGACCCTACCTAAAAAACAACGAAAGATAAGAGGTCTGGGGGTATAACTCAAGTGGTAGAGTGTGTATCTATCAAACACTAACAGTTAGTTCAAACTCCATTACTGCAAAAAAAAAATTATGCTGGTCACTAGTGACTCACACCTATGATCCTAGCTACTTGGGAGCATTGTGGTTCAAGACCAGCCCAGGCTTCCATCTCCAAAATAACCAGAGAAAAATGGACTAGAAGTGTGGCTCAAGTGGTAGAGTGCCTGCTTTGCAAGCACAATGCCCTGAGTTCAAACTCCAGCCCCACCAAGAAAAGAAATTACACTTGAACTTCATTTCTCCTCACATGTGGTTTTTGGTGTCTCATTTTACACCTTTCTAAATTTCCTATCTCTTAAGACATTAATGAAGCTATGTTTCTGTGGTATAGAGATCAAACATAGGTCCTTATACACGTACAGCAAGCACTACTGCCACTGGGCTACAGCTCCAGCCCACAATTATTATTTTTTAATTGTTTTGTTTTTAGTCTTGTACTAAAGATATGAATGATTTGCTCACTATATTTATAGAGGTAGACTCTTCAGAATTTGTGCAGTTACTGTTACCAGTACTTTTTATAACTACGATGTTTGCTTCTTACTCACTAGCATCTCTTTCTTTCAGTTCAAAGAACTTCCTTTAGCGTTTCTCATAGCATGTGTCTGGTACTAATAATTCTCTCAGCTTTTTGCTTGTCTGGGAATTCCTTTATCTCTACTTTACTTCCAAAGGTTAACTTTGGCAGGTGCAGTATTCTCAATTGATGTTTGTTTCCTTCATCAATGTGAAAATTTCATTCTACTCCCTCGGGCCTGTAAGGTTTCTGTTGAGAAGTCATCTGTCAGGCAAATTAGGACACACTTATGTGTTATTTGTTTCTAGCAGGAAACAAATAATGCTTTGAGCATTCTGTGTCTTTTTCTTTGTTGTTGAAACAGAGTCTTACTATCTACCCCAGGCTGGTCTCAAACTGGCAACTCTCCTGTTTCTGCCTCCTGAGTGCTGCGATTATAGGTATACACCACCATGCCTGGCCCATGTTGGTTTTTACCCTTTACAAATTTAAATATAGTGTCTTGGGTATACTTGGTTGAATTTAATCTGACTGGTGATCTTAGATCTTACTGTACTTAGATATTTTATTCAGGACTAGGTTTGGGATGTTTTCTTTTACCTGTTTGAGAGAGCTTTCTACCTCTAGCATTCTCCCATCCCTCTTGAATACAAAATCCAAACAATTGTTCTTTAATGTTCTCATAAGCTTTCTTTATTCCTCTTTATCGTATTTCTTCCTCCTTTCACCTGAGTATTGTCAAGTGTGTCTTCAAGTTAACTGATGCTTAGTCTGTTTGATCTACTCTAGTGTTGATGCTTTCTATTGTGTTTTAAGTTTTACTAGGTGAACTTTTTGCCTCGAAGATTTCTGTTTGATTTAAAAAATTATTTCAAACTCTGTCCTCAGAGCCCTGAATTGTTCAGTGCTTTCTTGAAGCCTGCTCAGTTTCCCTAAAACAGAGTCTGCACACAGCAGCTACATGGCACAGGTATAGTTATGCAGTTGTTTTATTCACCTTAATTTTGTTTTAGGTGAGTTTATCATTTCCTAAAAGATTTTTTTATTTTTTGGTGCTTGGGATTGAACCTGAGGTGTTGGGCATGCTAAAAAATACGCTATTCTCAGCCCTCCCTGAGACTTTCTTCCCCTTCCTTCCTTCCTTCCTCCCTGCCTCCCACCCTCCTTCCTTCCTTCCTCCCTGCTTCTCGCCCTCCTTCCTTCCTCCCTTCCTTCCTTCCTCCTTTCCATTCATTCTTTCTTTTCAGACAGGTTCTCAGCATGTATTGCATATTGGCTTCAAACTCATGATCCTCCTGCCTTGGCCTCATAAGTGCTGGAATTATAGGCACGTGCCACCACACATGGCTGTCCCTGAAACTTCTTGATGCTTGTTGGCTTACTACATCATCAGCACATTGAAGGATTGAGTATTTATTCCAGTGTTCATAACCTGACTTTGTGCCTGTCCCTCCAGAAATTCTAAGCAGGTTGTTGATTTTCTCTGAGTCAGTGGTCACTTTGGCTGTTTCATCATTCTAAGGCACCCAAACTCCTGGTTTGCAGTGCTTTCACTGTTGGTGTGTTGCTGCTGTTTGACCACTAGAGGGTGCTCAAAAATCAAGTTTGTCATAAATGTAGGGATGTGCCTAAAAAACATGGTTTGTCTCCACAAGCTTCTTTCTGGTGCCATATTAGGCACAGACAACTTGTCCAGTCACTGGCATGTGGTCAGGCCCTGTATGATTCTGTCCAGCTCTGGGCATCAACACAGAGTGATGAACCCTAGGTTCCTGTGCATGAATTGGCACATACCTCCCTTTCTTCCCCAGAGCAATTACTCTCTGTGTTGTACTGTCTGGGATTCAGGGAGGGACAGAGGGGCAGTCTTGTGGTCCTTTATACCATAATAGTAGGTCACACTCAGAACTCTCAGCTCACCAAGACCAAGATCCTGCTGCTGTGGTAAACTCATGGCTGAAGCTGGTATAATCATCCACAAGTGATGCTGGATGTAAATCCAACCAACTGGGGCCATGAATCTCTCCACCTGGCACTGTAATAGGTCTAGAGGCCTTGAATGAGCACTTGCTTGGGGGCAGAGACTGTTAGGATCTGCCTCACATTAGGTTTCACTGGCTGAACACTTAATTCCAAGGCAAAGTCCTGTGGTTACTACCCAGTCTTAACCAACAGTGGATGGAATTTTGGTCCATGCTGTGCTTCCTGAGGTTGGTGGAGGACTTGGTAGGGACAGTCACTTGGCCATCAAGGCTGATGTTAAGCTTAGTCACACCTGAGTCTCATAGCTACAAGACCTGCACATTTTCAGGGGTGCATTGAAGCCCACACCTGAGCCTGGTGATGATGCAGGCAAAAAACACAAGTTTGTCCCTTTGAGGCACAGGTCTCTGCTTAGTGGCAGGGTAGGCTTAGAGATGCTATCAGCAAACACTGGACTGGGGATGGAGCATTTTGGCTCTGCCTCATGCTGGCCTCACTGTAGTGGGTTTGATATTGAGCTTTAAGGCAATGTCCTGTGTGTACTTTCTTGCTTTACCTCCAGCAGGTGGAGTCCTCTCCCAAGATGTGCTATGTGAGGTTGGAGTAGAGATGGTGGAGACAATCCCTTGGCAACCTGGACTAATGTGGTTCCACAGGATCAGTAATTGGGCACAGACATAGGAGAAAGGGGCTGTGGGGCTGTGCTTGGCACCAGGTTTCTAGATGACAGACTTGGTATGGAGTGTCAAGTCTACGGCTTAGACCTAATTCTCTCTCTCTCCCCCAGGCAACTAGTGTCTCTCTCCACATTGCAGTACTTGGAGTTGGAGGAGAGATGATATAGGTAACTGTCATTTCTGCTTTTTTAATGTGTCTTTTCTCATTGTACTAAAATAGATACTGTGGTCTCTCACCTGGTTACCTTACCTCTTGTGAAGTTACTTTGGTAAATGAATAGCTGTTCAACTTGGTGTCTCTGTGGGAAGATGATTGCTCACTCAGTCACCATCTTTCTATTATACCATATTTAATTTTCTATCTTCATATTCTTGAAATTCACTGAAAAATTTAAAGATTATTTTGGGTTGTTTTTCTGTCTTTTTATAGCTTTTCCTAGGTTTATGGTCTGTTGGTGCCTTGCTAGTTTCTTTTGGAGGGCTCATGATTTGCTGAGTCTTCTTTTGATAGTTGAACATTTGTGGAGATAGTCACTCTTTGGGGGTGTCTTTCATGATGCTCTTTGGCAGGGATAGACCTTCACTATGTAGTCTAGCTTATGATTCTGAATGGGCCAGCTGCCGATGACCCTGAGTAGGCAGAGCCATCTTCAGACGGCGGGGCTATTGCCTTTGCTTTGAATTCAGATAGGGCAGCTGACTGTAATCTGTTATTTGGCAAGACCACTGGCTGAAATCTGCAATCAGGCTGAGCTTCTGGATGTACACTATGATTGCCTCAGCTCTGTCTGGGTCAGAGTATATTACCTGGTCAGAAGATCCTACTACTTGAGTCCATAGGTGGGACAAAATTGCAGGAGAATCCTTAAGGTTAAGTACATAGGGATGAAACATAATTAAGTCTTGATTAGCAGCTGCAAATACCTTTCTGACAAGCCTTCCACCATCAAAGTTACTGGAAGGGAGCTTCGTGTTTCTTGTCTTTCCCTCCTGTGCCCACTCATGGCTCCCTGAATACTCCACCATAACACAGAATTTTGGGAGTATGGACCAATAGGAAAGACACAACAATAGCCTTAGAAATAAATTCTATATAAACTCTTACCTTCCCTCTATTCTTCTTGTTGGATATGGCAAGCTGTCCTCTGCTGGTGGGAAGAGCCTCCTGAGATTGATAGAAAAGAACACTTTTCTGTCCTGAAGAAGTGCCTTCAGTAGGCGGAAGGAAGTTTAGTGGCTACGTAAGGCTTATCAACATACTGGACAGCCCTGTGGTTTCCTGTGCAGAGACCCACTGGCAAATGAGAGTGTGGACTTTGTTGAGTCATGTTCCTCATAAGATGTTTCTCAATATTTGGTCTTACTCTGCTCCTCTATCTCAACCTTTGCCCATACCTACCCTCTGTCCATCCTTTCCTCTTTCCTGTAAGTGATTGTTGTTTTGGAGTTTCTTGCTGCCACTGGACCAGTAATGGCAAACAATGTGAGCTGTGCCGGAAAGCTTTCTAAGAGTGACGCTCATACTCCTTTGTCATCACTCAAAGATCTTCATGGATTGGCCCCTTCTTTTCTTGTCAAAGTAGTAATGTGGGTATGTTTACAACTTATCTCCCAATAGCGCAGGAGTGTATCAAAATTAAATCAAAACAAAACAAAAACCTAGGTGAATGTCTTCCAAAGTTTTATTCTCTAGAAACAGCAATCTGTTAGAATTTTTGTTCTTAAGTATTTTATTAGGGAAGATTACTATTTTGAATGGTGAATTTTTATTTATATTTTTAATTATTTGTGTTACCAAGTGTATAAATTGGCTGTCCACATGAGATGTAAAGAAGTTGGCACACATGCTAGCCACATTGAGTCCTAAGAGCAGTCATGGAGTGAGAAATAGATTCAACCATATGGGTTTGTGTCTGGCAAATCAGCAGATGGGAGTGTGTGATGGGGGGGTGGAGACTGTATGCAGGGTACTGATTATAACAACAGATCATGGAATCTAAATGTGGCAACCATGGAAATGAGGAAGAGATGGTCAGAAAGACATATCAGGTCAAGAAACTGGGTCAGCTGGGCTCCAGTGGCTCATGCCTATAATCCTAGCTACTCAGGAGGCAGAGATCAGAAGGATCGCAGTTTGAAGTCAGCCAGGGTAAATAGTTTGCAAACACCTAGCTCAAAAATATCCAACACAAAAAAGGGCTGGCTGAATGGCTCAAGAGTGCCTACCCAGCAAGCATGAGGCCCTATGTTCAAACCTCAGTACTGAAGGAGAGAGAGAGAGAGAGAGGATCAAAGGGGATGTTATGGGAAGGTCACTGGAGCTGAGGCTCTAGGAAAAACAGTTGTACATATCAGAGGGGAGGGTCAAACAGAGTGATCTCTACACTGAGACTTTGGAGGCTATACTGATGTGGGTGATGACAAGATAGATGCGACTGGATTGGATGATAAGGTTAAAGAAGGAGGTGTAGAACATGGAGAACTTGGGATGTTGTATTGACCATCCAGGTAGATACTGGGGTTACCACAAATGGGCTGATGCTTGAGAAGTCTGTAAATGAGGCAGTAAGCCACAAAACAATATAGTAAACATTCACATACCCATCAGTGACATTAAGCATATGCTAAAACTATTTCTTATTTGCCACTGATTTCTCTTTAGAAATAAATAAATAAGATTACAGATACAATTAATGGTCCAACTTTACATCACTTCTCTCTGTGGCTTATGAGATTATGAAATTTTTGTGCATTCTGTCACATGTGTAGCAGGAAGTTAGAAACGCAACTTTTATCTAAAAATCAGGATACTATATGTAACATATTTCAAAAGAGTTTCTACGTGGCTTGAAGAACAAATTTTCTAGTAACCGGTTACCAACTCTTAAGACATCCTCTATATCAGAGTGTACAAAACAGAGTTTAATGTTTGTGTGAGGACTGAAATGTTGATTCTACTTAAAAGATGAATCATCTCCCCTTTCTTATCTTGAGGTTTCTTGACAGGGCTCTTCATGATGCAAAAAGTCTTTATCAAAACTGCGTCATTTATGAAATCACAAGACTGATGGCTTTCATAATAATTCTCAGGCTGAGCTGATGACATCACACAAAACACTGTGCCTGGGCACAGGCTGCAGTTACTGTCATTCTGTTTCCTCCCATCTGTAAGAAGAATTAACCTACAGCCAAACTCTACTAGGCATTTGAAAACCAAGGCAGGTAGATGGAGGATACGGAATCAGAAGAGTGTTGGACTAGGGAGAGTGTTGGGTCTGGAGTCTGAGTTCTGTGTATTGAATGGCGTTAAAAGAGCAATTGACATATTTGGCTGGGAAAATTGAACACTGTGGATGGCATAATTTCATAGCTATTTTAAAGCATCCTGAACACTCAGAGATCAATGGCCAGCTCGCCCCTCTGAGGGTAAATCTGATGGGCAGCCCAATGCCTGTGATCTATAGAGATGTGCTGTTTTCATAGCATCTCATGGTGGTCCTTCTTTCTGCATGAATTTTTGTGGAATGAGTAACCATCAGCATCAGATAGCCATGAACTATGTACTGAGCCTAGTTTTTATTAATGTCTTTGACCTGACTATGGATGAATCCATTGTTTTTAATTCTACTAATCATGAAGATTGATTATTTAGATTGAGGAAGAAAAAAATGTCACAGCCAGAATAATTAGCACAAAATCTTGAGACTTACATTATCTCCCCAAACCTAATAAACCTGTAAACTATTACTAAATGGTTTCCAAGATACTTTTCACTTTGAAATTAACAATTGCAATGTCCAACTGAGACTGGATCAGTGAATTTCTAGAGTTTACATTGGTCTAGGTAAGAGCTAAATAAACACCATTGCAAGGCCATGGGCTTTATTACCAGCACCCAAGACCAACTGTCACTATGCCAGGGATGAATGTCTCCAGAGGGATTTTCATAAACCCACAGGACTGTTCATATACAGGCAGAGAGGTTATCTTTAAGAATGTTTTTCTAAAAGACCTGATGATCTAATGAGACCTATAGACTCAGAACCAAGTTCTCTGTTTGCACCAATGGCCCAACAGGACAGAATATGATTCCCATAGAACATAGTCTGAGAGAAAAATAAGGAACCACATTTAAATTTTTTTGGTATTACTGGGGTTTGAACCCAGGGCCTCACACTTGCTAGGCAAGCACTCTACCACTTCAGCCATGTCTCCAGCCCTTATTGCTTTAGTTTGTTTTTAGATAAGGTCTTGTGATTTTTGCATGGACTAGTCTCTGACTGCTGTCCTCCTACCATGCCTTCCAAGTAGCTGGGGTTACAGGCATGTGCCACTACACCCAGCCTAGGAATTATATTTTTAACTTTCCAGGTATAGAACAGTTATTAACAGAGTTTTGTGGTTTGGCAAGGAATTCTGTCCATTGTAGTGACAGTGAAAGTAAAGAGTGCTGAATAGGAAATGATTTAGACATAATGAAACCCACTAAAACCTAAAAAGGAGGGGGGAGGAGGTAAGGGAGTAAAAGAATATAGATGGGGTGAATTTGATCAAAGTATGTTATATGCATGTATGTAAATACCACAGTGAAACCTTTTTGTACAATAAATTTATGCTAATAAAAATTAAAAAAGGAATGATTTAGAAAAAATAACATAATAACAGAGGGATAGACATTCTATTTTCAGACTAATGCTTCCTCGTAGAAAACCTAGAAAAGTCAGGGTAAAGTAAATCCCTTTGAAGACATTGAGAATGGCTGATGTATTTCAGAGGCAGGAGGCTGGGGAAGAGCAGACAACTGTGAAGTATGACAGGGCCGTGCTCACTCACAAAGCCACATCTAATGATCAGGGCAGTGGCTCTGCATCACTGCTCCGCTCTGCTTCTGACATCCCCAGGCTTCCCTGAGGAAGGCTTCTCCCACATTTATCCTCATCAGGAGTGTCCTGCAAAGCCCTCTGCAGAAGCAGCTGGAGGTCTACTGCTTCAGCTATTGCCAAATTAGCCAATGAAGAAGTAGATGATGGGGTTTGCTCAATTGTTAACAGAGGAGGACAAACACAATGCAGTGAAGTCACAGAGAATGCATTGTAATCAGTTTAAAGCCACAGTTTAGGAAGCCCTTAGATGCCATGAGGCAGGCTGAGGGAGCTAGGCCCGGACGAACCTATCAGTTTGCATAGCCTGGAGCCACAGGTATCAATTACTCCTGCCCCACAACTATCTCTTATCAGTAGGTTCAAGAAAAGTTGGGTTTAAAATATCCCATTGTATAGAGAGGAGAAGGATTTTTTTTTTCATTTTTCTTTTATTATTCATATGTGCATACAAGGCTTGGTCATTTCTCCCCCTGCCCCACCCCTCCCTTACACACCCCTCCCCCTCCCTCTCCCCCCCCAATACCCAGCAGAAAACTATTTTCCTTATTCTCTAATTTTGTTGTAGAGAGAGTATAAGCAATAATAGGAAGGAACAAGGGTTTTTGCTGGTTGAGATAAGGATAGCTATACAGGGCATTGACTCACATTATTTCCTGTGCGTGTGTGTTACCCTTCTAGGTTAATTCTTTTGATCTAACCTTTTCTCTAGTTCCTGTCCCCTTTTCTATTGGCCTCAGTTGCTTTTTAAGGTATCTGCTTTAGTTTCTCGCGTTAAGGCAACAAATGCTACTAATTTTTTAGGTGTCTTACCTATCCTCACCCCTCCCTTGTTGTGCTCTCGCTTTTATCATCGTGCTCAAGTCCAATCCCCTTGTTGTGTTTGCCCTTGATCTAATGTCCACAATATGAGGAGAACATACGATTTTTGGTCTTTTGGGCCAGGCTAACCTCACTCAGAATGATGTTTCCATTCCATCCATTTACCAGCGAATGATAACATTTCGTTCTTCTTCATGGCTGCAATAAAATTCCATTGTGTATAATACCATACTTCTTACCATTTTCTTGAATCCATCGTCAGTGCTGGGCAATCTTGGCTGTTTCCATAACTTGGCTATTGTGAATAGTGGCCACATAAAACCATGGGTGTGCAGGTGCTCTGGAGTAACAGTCTTTTGGTATATCCCAAGAAGTGGTATTGTGGAATCAAAATGTAGATCGATGTCCACTTTTTTAAGTAGCCCTCCAAATTTTTTTTCCAGAGTGGTCCGTAAACTAGTTTACATCCCCACCAACAGGTGTAAGAGGGTTCCTTTTTCCGCCGCATCCTCGC